TTTTTGCGGTACGCGGGCCTCTCACTGCTGTGGCCTCTCCCGTTGCGGAGCACAGGCTCCGGACGCGCAGGCTCAGCAGCCATGGCTCACGGGCCCAGCCGCTCCGCAGCACGTGGGATCTTCCCGGACCGGGGCACGAAGCCGTGTCCGCTGCATCGGCAGGCGGACCCTCAACCACTGCGCCACCAGGGAAGCCCTCAACTATCTTCTTTTTTAACCCCCATAACACCTAGCCCCAAAAATGAAATAAAAATAAGCCTATTTCTCCACAGCCTCACACCTTTCCTATACCTTGTATAGGTTATTTAATGGCAGCTTCTTCTTTAAAATGAGATCATCAGACGCTCAAATAAAATCCTACCATACGACTGTACTGAGCCTCCACTTTATGCCTTTTGTCTCCTTTAAATTCAAAATAAATATTTCAAAAATAAGGTTAATATAGCCTTACAAGTAGGACTTGCTCACTCCTGAAAGCACTTTCAAGTAAATCCCAACTTTTCCAATACTTTAAGAGTCTGTTTATAATACAAAGCACCTTATCCACATTTTTTTTCAAAACAAAAAATGCTCACAACCTATTTATGAGAATCAAACAAGGTAAAATATAAAATCCTAATTTTTACCTATAAAATAAGTCAGTTAATAGCACTGTTAGAAATAAGACTCTAGATCTCCTAATTTCCTTCCCAAGTTTCACCTGGAAAGGTAACAGTTAAAAAATAAAAGCTTCAAAAAATCCCTAAGTTATAATTTCACAAAGAAAACAAACCGCTACATCTTGTCTTCTTCCTGTAGGTTAGAGGTAGTAAAGATGATTTGACAGTGACAGGCTGGGCTCTCTGTGAACGCTCTGGCCAACGAGGAAAGCCAGTTTGTGGGCATACTGGCAAGGGGCAGGAACACGGATGACGCCCTTCAGCGGGAAAAGAAAAGGTTCTGTTACTCTGAATCTAGCTCTCTAAACTGAAACCTCGGTATTAAACTGTAAAAGCCTTAGACAACATAGCAATTCCATTTTGAAAAGTGAATCTCATTGATGTGAATAAACATCGATTAAAAAAATACTTACTGGCCAGTTATAATAGATATGACATAGCTTGTAAGTTAACCTCTGTATGTGGTCTGGCTTCAGGCCACTGCTGTCATAGATGACGTTGTAATGTGTGGGAGCAACACTGCCACTTCTCACTGCCTGGCTCACGATAAAGAAATCATACCTGGGAATTACAAAAGAAATAAACACATGGGTGTAAGGCTCATCTTTTTGAAAGCTAAAATTAAGATGATTCAAGTTTCTTACAGTGAAAAGATCCGGTATACTAAAATGTGACCTAATCTTCTCAAAACATAATGTGCTTCCTTGAATTCAGAACTTGTTATTCATGAACCATTTTGGAATGCTTGTGTGTGAAAGAGGTTTAAGATACTACTATTATTTATATTTTTAAATATCTATCATTGATGCCTCGTGGCATTAACAAACGTTTGACACGGCTGCTAATTATGACGGTGCCACTGTACCGGGTCACTGTTTCCACTCCACATCTGAGCGAGATGACTGCGCAGCAACAGGCTCTAGAATCAAGAACCAAGTAGTGCAAACGTAAAGGAACATCAGGGTTTTTGTTTGTTTGTTTTGTTTTTTCATTTTTTTGGTACCAATTAAACATCAATCCAGAGATACTGTAATCTGACCTGATATAGTTATTAAGAAATTAATTTATTATGTCCATTGAAACTAGACAAATTTTAAAATCAGAATTGATCTACAACAGATTACTGTTATTTAGCAAAATGAGGGTTTCAGAAATGTTAAATGACTTGCCCAAAAGAACAGAGAAATCACAAAAGAGCTAGAATCAAAACCTCTGTTCCCAGTTTAAGCACGTTATTATCGTTCAAAGTGGACGTCTCCAAGTATTTGAGTAGTAACAGCAGCTGTTAAGTTTTAAAGAACATCTAGGGCTTCCCTGGTGGCGCAGTGGTTGAGAGTCCGCCTGCCGATGCAGGAGACGCAGGTTCGTGCCCCGGTCCGGGAAGATCCCACATACCGCGGAGCGGCTGGGCCCGTGAGCCGTGGCCGCTGAGCCTGCGGGTCCGGAGCCTGTGCTCCGCAACGGGAGAGGCCACGACAGTGAAGGGCCCGCGTACCGCAAAAAAAAAAAAAAAAAAAAAATCTAGTAAAAAGTAATCAAATTTTTTCATACTTTAAAGTTCAACTTGGATTTTACCCAAATTGTTAAAAAAAATTATGTCTTTAGGTCAATGTTACACCTGAGCTTTGGTTATCAGAGCAGTAGCAATGTTAGAAGTATCATGAGGTCACTGAATCATTAAAGAGAATCCTACAGGAAAGGAAATTGTAGTATCTTAGTTACTATCTTAGCCATTCTGTCTTCCTCCTTCAACGATTTTCCCCAACAGGTTAGAATCCTTCTGATAACTAACATCTGCCTGAGAGAAAGACACAATCCAAGATAATGCATCTTGAAATAAAAATTTCTATACATTGTCAGATAACAGGACTAAACAGAACTAAAATCTGTATTATCATTTGTCTACATAAATTTAGTACAGTGATGCCTCATTTACCTAAGGTTCATACAGGAGAAGCATTCCACATTTAAACTTTGCACCTAGGCTGACACTTTACCCTGATTAAAGTTGCCCTTTTTAAAAAGGGCTCCAAAAATTTATATATGAAGGAAGACAGAAGCATCACAGCTGTTCACTCTCATGAAGAGGGCGTTAATGTGGATTGACCAATGACTTGCCATCGTGAACATGACTTGCTGCCTTGTACTCCATTCCCCACAAAGGGGTTTTCGAGGAACCAAATTTCATGAGTTTACAGTTGAACCCTCGTGTGCTAATAAGACCATTACCGTGTGCCCCTGAATGTTCTAGCTGGCTTTCTTATGGCAGAGTGCAGCTCCCGGTTACATAAAAAGTGTTTGTTCAAAAGCCACTTTTCTACCTGCAACTGTGTTTCAGATGACACTTTCTGACCTGTGGATAACTAAGTGCATTACAGATCTAAAAATTTTGATTGGAAAATAACAATCTATGGATGAGGTTACATATGTAAAAAAAAAAAAAAAAAACGCAAAGGCAATCTAGAGCAGCTGTTCTTAAACTCAGGATGTATAATTAATACCACAAACAATAACCTGCTTCCCCCAGAGAGAAATGGCACAGAAACCTCTGTTCACCATTTCAGAGACTAAGTTAGTAAATCATGGGCATTATTAGATCACACTAATGAAAGACTCTAGTATTTATAAGAAATAAAGTATAAGAACTATCAAGTAAATGTGTTAAAGGTGATAAAGTACAGAGGCTATGCTAAAAAACAAAACAGAAACCAATCTTCATCTAATACAGAACTTACCATTCTGGTCTGGTAACCTCTACATCAATAACTGTTCCAGGAAGTGGATTTTGAGGTCTTCCTCCAGACTGAGCAAAAAATCTGGCGTTCACTCGTTTCTTCACCACAATGACCGTTAGTCTTGGGCTTAAGACGGTGATGAATGTAACTGCATTTAGTCAGTCATATTTTCAGGGCACTGAAGCATTCAAACATTCATACACTCCATTTAAAAGGAAACGCACATCCCTCTTGGGGCATACTAGCTATCCCAGTTGTGAAGGAAGATTCCATAACTTGTAAGCGCGTGGAGTTAGGGCCAGGAAAATACTGTGAGTAGAAAATAAAATGGCACATTTGGGCCCTGTGACTCAAGGTCATATAGATGTTTAATCATTAAACCAAGCACACGACATACCTGTCTCACGAAAATGTTAAACCCAGCATGTTTTTAAAGTTCACAGTTTGAAAGCCTTTTCGGTGGGCATTTTCTTCTATGTAGAAAGTAAGATATTAACTCTCAAATCTTTGACAGGTAAGCTCATTTGAGCAGTCTCAAAGTCTAACTTCCTGCCTTTCAAAATGACTGGCTGACAACATATCAGGGATCTCTGTCTCTCCCGGCTCAGCCACTCCTCAGCCTGCCACACAGCAGTACCAGAATACTGCCGTTTTCCCCCTCCCTCCCCAGCCCCATTCTGCAGGTGGTTTCCCATGTCAAGACTCTCCTGAGGGCAGCCCTGTAACTGCCAGTATGCATTCAGCCTGAATACCCTTTCTATCCATCTCTTAAAGGTTCATTTCAAATTCACTGTCTGACACAGTCACACTGTATACACACATCCATTTGGGAATAAATGAATTAGAACACGTTAAGCACTTAGATCGGTGCTGGCATGTAATAAACCTTGATAAATATTATGATTTTCAATACCTCAAGTTTCCTGTGCTCTTTTTCCAGCTAGAACATTAGTTCCTTAAGAGCATAAATATACTTTATTCTAAACCCTGGGAAGCAGAGGGCTTCACATGCAGTATGGACCTGGCTGGTAATGTTTGACTTGGGTAGGTAGTTCACAACACACTGTCTAGACTGATGGTCTGAAAGATCCCCAAATGGGAACTTCTGTTCAATCATAAACTTAATGTGCTCCTTCACGGTAGAAGTAACCAAATATACAAGGGGCAGGAAGGTGATTCTACTTAAGTAAATGGAAGAACGTTTTAGGAATATCACTATCTACCCATGTACAATACACCTCTCACTGCCCAGCTACAGCAGATCTGGATATAACAGAGCCACAGTCTCAGGAATCAAAAGACAAAGTGGGGCTTCCCTGGTGGCGCAGTGGTTGAGAATCCGCCTGCCAATGCAGGGGACACGGGTTCGAGCCCTGCTCTGGGAAGATCCCACATGCCGCGGAGCAACTAAGCCCGTGCGCCACAACTACTGAGCCTTCGCTCTAGAGCCCGTGAGCCACAACTACTGAAGCCCACGTGCCTGGAGCCCATGCTCCGCAACAAGAGAAGCCACTGCAATGAGAAGCCCACGCACCACAGCGAAAAGTAGCCCCCGCTCGCCGCAACTAGAGAAAGCCCGTGAGCAGCAACGAAGACCCAACGCAGCCAAAAAAAAAAAGACAGAGTGGATTTTAGTCCTCTGATATCACAAGAAATGATTTAGCAAATGTGGTGACATAAAGACAAGTCACAAGTATACTAAAGTGACTCTTTGATTTGTTCTTATACCAAACATTCTAAATCAACTAATCCATGACGCATCTTTATAAAAAGTTAACATCAACATTTCAATTAAAAAACAAATAGGATAAAACAAAAAGGATAAAAAACAAAAAGGATAACTACAAACATTACAGTCCAAATGCTGCATTTCTCCAAAGTGAGGAATAATTCTTGGATATTGTTTTACTTTACAGGCAACTCCAAACTTGTTTCCAGATGTGTTACCTGCTATTAGTTGAGTGCTTACTGGGTGCTGTGTGAAGTACATTCAACACTCTTGACTTATTCCTTTCATCAACCTTGGTTAAGTTGCCTCCCCTGTTTCACAGATGAAGGCAAAGCTGGGATTAGCCCGACTCTGATTTTAAGGTATATGGCTCCTGATCACTGATCTCTGCAGCCGCCAAACAACGGCACGATTCACAACGTGAAATCTACTTCATGCAATGGTCTGTTATACACTAGTCCAAGCAATCAATCTAAATCCTCCTTCCCCGCAACATGTGTTCCTATTCGCTAAAGGGAAGCTGAGCAGGAAATCCCACCAGCCTCCTCAGGCCCAGTTCCACCCCCTTGTACAGGAGGACGCTGTTCACAGATGCTCACTTGTAGGGCTAGAGTCTCCTCTTTGAGAACTATTTCTGCCAGTCCTTCTGGGACCCAACCCAAAGGGCTCAAAAGACTCAAAGAACCAGAGATGCAGGGACAACAGCGTTACGTTCCCAGTATCCCAAATATTCAGCCTAAGGAAATAAGATGAACTTGCACTATTACCTCTACTCTTCACTTCTTGAAATTTTCTTTTTCTCTAGATATGAGGAAAAAAAGCAGCTACGACTAGAAAATTCTGAGGGCTAAAGTAGTAAACAACTAAAAAACAACCTAAGAAAGCAGCAGTCCATCTGAGCCCTTCCTCTACTCCCTTCCACCACATCACCCGTCCCTGTAAGGACAGAAAATCTAAGGGAAAAAACACAAGTTAAGGCTTACAGAACTTCAAAAACCAAAATAAAATAAATACCATTATTTTAATGAGAAAATACAAGCACTAGGAATTTTAAGAGGACAGGAAAGAACATTAACCTTCGTTTACAAAATATTAAAAAACGCCTAGTAGCATTTTAATCTGAAACACAATTACTTCAAAAGAAATAAAAAACACCCCCGACATGCTCTGAGAACTTGCTGGCATAATTATCTCATCTTAAGAAATGTGTAGAATCAACACTTAGAAGGGGTCTTTCAGAATTTGGCCAAAGAAGACTTGGAAGCACTCTCCAATTTAGCTAGAAATAAGCTCTTACTGCTCATCCCATGGGCCTATAAATTACAGCGAGCCCAAGTACAGTCAAATGACTTTCAGAATCCCTCATTTTTTATAATGATAACAAATACCGGCTGAAAAAGTCTGGCAAAAATAATCAGTGTTTAAATATGCACGTGCAAGCACATATAAACAGGTCTCCTGGATTTTCTAAGTATCCTTAAAAATCAAATCCACAAATCTTTTAATACATTATGCGCTAAGCTCTTACTAAACAGTCCCTGATCTGGACTTCCTTACAATCTGATAAAGAAAACAGCAAAAGTTAAACAACGTAACTTATTAAAACAGCTATCTTGAGATGGTATGCAATTTACTGCCAAACAGCACGAGCAATGACCTCTGTAGGAGAGCAGAGGAAGGCGAAACCCAGTACAGCTTTCAAAGGAGGACGCGGGCAGCGTCCAGTTACGAGGAGCACTAAGTGCCCTGGGTTCTGCAGACCGCCTGACAGGTCGAAGCAGAACCATCTCCCCTATGACACCAAACACACGCCAAACATCCTACCCACCAAGCGCCAGTCCAGCCGAGTTCACAGAGAAATCAAACGAGTATTTACGGTACAATGAGGTAGAAAAAAAAGTTAAGCCTATCTGGAATACATATTCCAATAACCAATTGTGTGGATGCCTACGGGTGTGCTGGGATAATCAGACCCTCGTACTTCAAGGCTCTAGGAGAGAAAAGGCGGCAGCAGACGATCGGTAAAGGCATCTCCATGCGTCATTCCTTGAAGGAGCTCCCACTCTACATTTCCAGCCTGCCCCTCCTCCACGAAAAATTCTCCACAAGACACCCCCCCAACCCAAACCTCTTCCATTACCTCAAGCCTGAACGCACCTGTAAGGTTAGATTCTCACCGGTTCACCCCGTGACATTATTTTCAAAGATACAGAAGTGTAATTTTATAAAGAGAAAATGATTACATTTCGCATGCTTACTTGTAACCTCTACCAACGGATCTCAGGCAATCCAGAAACTGTGGCACTTCATAGTTCACCAATGTCTTAAGTTGACCGTCTCCTACGCCATCCCGATACACGATAATTCGACTAGGCATGTATTCATTGCAGCTATTCCAAGCCCTCAGAGCGGCTGAAAGAAAGCCAGACAAGTGTTAACTACATTAACACAGAACAAAAATGTGCTTCTACCAAATTCTGGCCACAGGATTTTATCAGAAACATAGCTTTAAAGACAATTTCCTGAAGACTCTAATTCACAGGGCAGACAGAAACCACAACAGGAGACTCACCTTGCAAGCAGACTTTGAGCCCATCTACTAGCTCTTGCCCTCTATCTTGAAATACACAGCGAGAGAACCAGCTATTCAGAGAAAAAACATGGCCGTGGTGAGAATGCAACTGTCTAGAAGTTTTTCACTTTTGAATCATTCTATATGTTACCCTTAGCCATTCACGTTCTTTAACTTCCTTTTTGAAATCTTAAGCAGAAGGGTTACAAGATACAGGAAATCTTCATAAAGCTTTCTTTCATTATAAATCAGTCCCATAATTCCATCACTGAGAAGAAAATAAAATTTAAGCCAGAGATGCCTCCTAGATTTACACCTCAAAACACACAGAACAGGCTTCCCTGGTGGCACAGTGGTTGAGAATCTGCCTGCCAATGCAGGGGACACGGGTTCGAGCCCTGGTCTGGGAAGAACCCACATGCCGCGGAGCAACTAGGCCCGTGCGCCACAACTACTGAGCCTGCGCGTCTGGAGCCTGTGCTCCGCAACAAGAGAGGCCACGATAGTGAGAGGCCCGCACACCGCGATGAAGAGTGGCCCCTGCTTGCCACAACTAGAGAAAGCCCTCGCACAGAAATGAAGACCCAACACAGCCAAAAATAAATAAATAAACAAATGTGGGATTTAAACAAAAAAAGAATATTATAAAAAAACACACACACAGAAGCACACTCTTACTACTATACTCTTGATAAAAGATACTTTTCTAAAAGATAAAACACCTTGAAATATGCCCATTCGTAACGCTAACACATCAATGCTTCAATTTTCATTCTTCCTATTCTTGGTAATTCTATTAGTTCTAAGAAAAGCACTGAAAAATAATTTCACTATGTTGAAATACAAGTGACTGGGTAAACTCAAGTGGGTTTTCCAAAATAAAGTTAACGTGACAACTAGAAATTACATTCAGTGGTCAATAAAATTATTAAAGAAGTTTTTAGAGACAGTCACATTTAAAGAGATGCATCCTCCCCACAAATACAAATAATAAAATAACCTGAAACGCAATCTGACCGCTACATCAGGTTAAGGGCCAGTGAAGGACATTAAAAATGGCAGGGTAGCTAATAACCGGTTTCCTTTTCTAACTTTTCTCTTTTACTGGATCTAACGTAAGAGAAATCAAGGTAAAGAATTAACACGACCCCTGTCCTCCCCAGACACCGGCCCCTAGACTCGTGGGCTGTGTTGCGTATGTCTAGCAGTTAATCTGCGGCTACCCAGAGCCCACTCACCGGGTCATCCCTTCATTGATGCTTGCTACAAAGCCTGCAATTGACCTCCGTCCAGCTGTGGTGTCATGGTAACAATCAATGCCAACTATCATGGCTAGCTTTAGCTTCAACAAAAACATCGTAATGTTAGATACAACAGTACCAGCAGTATTCTAAAAATCCATTTTTCTTAAATAACAATGAAAACTTCTGTCCACCAGTTAAATCAAGCTTACAGGCATATCAACCCTCCAGAGCGCTCCTCCCATCTTGCAGCTCATCTGCAGGGCGATCTTCGTAGCAATGGCCATGACAGTCTGTGGTCTGCCTAAGGTTCGGGCCACCACACACTGACTTGGAGTAGGGCAATCTGTACATAAGTATTTTTTAATAGCATCATATTTGTCCTTCCGACTGCTTGACAACAGACAAACAACCTAAAAATGAACAAAACGCCCTCATTACAAAGAATTAGGAAACTGATAATTAAGTTCAAGGAAGAAGACAGGAAACCAAACCCACAAGATCATTTACTTTACTATTCATCTCTGCCATGTAGCTAGTAAGTATGACATTAACCTTTAGCTAACGCTCATTACATTCAACTAGGTAATAGATACTAATAAAGAAAGCATGTTAAGCAAATAATTCAAAACTTGAGAACTTAGTTAAAAATGCTCCATTGCCAGCTTGGAATACTTCAGAGGTAGGGAATAGGGCAAAACTAGTTAGTGATAACCTATAGGTGTTGTGACAAATAAAAGATTTTCTAAAATGCTCACAATTTTCTTACTCATGACCCACCTAGAATCACGGCTTTTAAACTTTTAAAGCTCTGGCTTGAGAATATGATCAAACTATGAAATCTCCTAGGAAGCCCGTGGGCACTGCTGCTGGGGAAGCTGAAGTACCTGGTCTAAGCAGGCCCCTGCCCCAAATGGGAAGATGTTAGTCAAAGGGCACAAACTTCCAGCTAAAAGCTAAGTTCTGAGGATCTACTGTCCAGCATGGTGATCACAGTTAACAGTACTGTATTATATGCTTGAAGGTTGCTAAGAAAGTGGATCTTGACTGTTATCACCACATACACAAAAAGAACTGTAATTATGTGAGGTGATGGAGGTGTTAACTAACCCTGTGTGGTCATCATTTCACAATACTACACGTAACAAGTCATCACACTGTACACTTAAAACTCACACAATGTTACATGTCAAGTACATCGAAAATCAACCAACCAACCAACCAAGCCACCCACACCTGCCCAAATTCTGAGGATTCAAGTTTAAGTTTTGGAGCTGAATCCAGCTCTTTAACTCATTGCTGTGTTCTCCAATTTATACTCTCAGATTCTTATCTTTCTTTCCATGGCCCCCAATAAAATCATTTTCCTACCCTAGGTGTCTCTATTATTCCAGACAACCTGACAGTAATTTGCCTGTGGCATTTAAGTATGAGATAAAGGACTAAAAGGAATGCATTAGAAGAAGCCAATTCATTTCTTGGGTTTAAAGCAACACAGATATGCTGTTTATCATTAAATTTGTCTTTGCCACCTCATTCTTTATACTTAAGTGTAACTACAGGTACCCTAACTATACTGTGTGTGCTGAACAGCTAGGTACTGTTTTTTACTCTTGTGCCTTTTCTCCCCCCAGATTTTCTAGAATAATTGAAGCGTCTGAGTCCCGGTAAATTCAAGATGGCTTTGCTGTTCTCCACCCCCTGCTCACTGTTCACAGTGCAGAACAACAAGCTCCTAGGTGCACAAGTAGAGCCGCATTAACTCAGCTATCTTAGGTCAAGCACGTATTTCGTGACCGGTTTGGGAACCTAATTATCACATTTACAACAATGGACTCAAGTTCTAAGATTTACAACAACTGATTCCAGGTCAACTGCCTCCACATCAAGTAGCTACTTACTATCTGGGTATCTGATGTGACCTTCTGCTGTAAGACTCTTAAATAGGCTTCCGTTCTATCATCCACTTCAATCCTAGAATGGAAATACGTGATCCAACATTCAGAAAAAGGAACAAAAACTGTACTGTGTGGTAAAAGGTTCCTACAGATTATAACACACAAAACACTTCTGTATAAAACGTGAAATAAAACACCAGGTGCAGCCATGCAGTCAAAAGGCTGCTTCTAACTCGCAGCAGCACGAGTCTGAGCGATAGTCCAGCCTGTCCTCCCTCCACCCTTCGTGACTCAGATACATTTCTGCATCCACCTTACAGGGAACTGTATCAGACCTTTAAGATCATCTCATGTTTTTGATAGTTTTATTAACAGTTTGAGTTCCCACACCCTCCAAATGACTGCTAATCAATTTTCAGAGTAGAAATGACTTGATAAACTTACATTACTGCTTTCTTCATTTGTATGCCCATGGCTGGTGTAACTTTAAATAGATTTTGTATCAACGCATTGGCTGCTTCATAATTTCTTCGAGTATAGATCAATAGCCAGTTATCTAGTGGCTTAACACTAATTAATGGTACACCTCTTGTTTCCTTTGACCAATCTGCAAACTGTGGACTGTAATCAAACTAGAAGAAAGTTCAGAGACACTGTAAATTCCATTGTAAGTTCTCGGTGATAAAGCCAGAAAGTCTTCAATAATTCTACCATGGCATATTCTAAACCTCAGAGTACTGCTCTTAAATTTGAACTGCAGTGACAGATGAAATGCCCTTAGTGAGGGGAAAAAAGATATAAAAATGTATCCAAAGGGTTATGTCAATTTTATTTAAAATACATTCATATTAACAGCTGCCACTCAAGTGCCTACCTGCCTGCACCAACTACTCTAAGTATCTCAAGCTGCGGTCTTCTTAATCTTTCTAAACTCTTACAAGGATAAGTGTTATTTCCCTCATGATAAAGATATAAAAAAATAAGGCCTTATAAGTTAAGCAACTTTATGACCGAGGTGTCAGATACTGAAAGGAAGCTGTGAAAACATCTGACGGCAAGGCAGAAAGCTAACAGACTCAAAGCACAGTGACCCTAGAAATGTTTACCATAGAGGAAAAAACCCAGTGCTTTTTACATGTCCTACTCACCTCCGCACCAACCCTTACACAGCAATATATATTAACTACAAAGGGTAATAAAAACAATTGCAATTAAAGTATTAAGCTACATGATTAGGTTGTTATTCATAGAACATTTAGAAGACAGAAGAGCACAGCTTTTTACAATTTTGGTACTTGTAGCGCTTCAGTTACACAAAAACATATGTTTTGAATACTTGCTTTCCTTTTCTGAAGACAGAATATAAAAGACATCACGATATTTAATGTAGATCCCTAACAAAGAAGCGGTCCATGCAAAAATGAAGCCAAATAAATTGGGAGCTTTCCCTGTAAAAGATCACTTTAGTGGCAGACGAAACACCAACCCATTCAGATACTTAGACTTCTACTGTACCTTAATTTAAGTAACTTAGCTCATTTTAAAAAGTTAAGCCATCTTTTCGCTAAGTCTCACGGACGACGGCCTGAGGACCAAGCTGCAGGCTTCGCCCCCTCTGCGCTCACATCAGTGGACAGTGGAGGTGCTGGGGGAGGGGAGGGCTGCCTGGCATGGAACTAGGGTAATGTACCCCTGCTCGCTCTGCTGGGAGTCCAACCCAAATCTGATTGGACGGACAACTTTAAGAACTGCCTTACTGTTCTTCCACCTTGATAGATCTTTTCTGCTTGCAGAATTCTTCCCGAGAAGGTCAGTAAGTTGGAGTCGAAGCTCAGACCCCAGTCTCGAAGCTCCCTCTGCACGTTATCATCTCTGTGAATTGAACATATTTACATATGCCGCTAAGTGTAAAGAGACAGAACGAAAACTAGCGCACACATGCAAAAAGAGACCCGCTGCAACCTACAACAGATTTCTCTCAGGACTAAAACCCCGCCGAGAATGCTAGGAAACCCAGACGTACAATCTATTTTTCTCTCATCCCAGCTATGTTTCCCTTCATGATAGCCTCTTCAATAAGTGGTGCTGGGAAAACTGGACAGGTACATATAAAAGTATGAGATTAGATCACTCCCTAACACCATACACAAAAATAAGCTCAAAATGGATTAAAGACCTAAATGTAAGGCCAGAAACTATCAAACTCTTAGAGGAAAACATAGGCAGAACACTCTATGACATAAATCACAGCAAGATCCTTCTTGACCCATCTCCTAGAGTAATGGAGATAAAAACAAAAATAAACAAATGGGACCTAATGAAACTTCAAAGCTTTTGCACAGCAAAGGAAACCATAAACAAGACCAAAAGACAGCCCTCAGAATGGGAGAAAATATTTGCAAATGAATCAACTGACAAAGGATTAATCTCTAAAATTTACAGGCAGCTCATGCAGCTCAATAACAAAAAAATAAACAACCCAATCCAAAAATGGGCAGAAGACCTAAATAGACATTTCTCCAAAGAAGATATACAGACTGCCAACAAACACATGAAAGAATGCTCAACATCATTAATCATTAGAGAAATGCAAATCAAAACTACAATGAGATATCATCTCACACCAGTCAGAATGGCCATCATCAAAAAATCTAGAAACAATAAATGCTGGAGAGGGTGTGGAGAAAAGGGAACACTCTTGCACTGCTGGTGGGAATGTGAATTGGTTCAGCCACTATGGAGAACAGTATGGAGGTTCCTTAAAAAACTACAAATAGAACTACCATATGACCCAGCAATCCCACTACTAGGTATATACCCTGAGGAAACCAGAATTCAGAAAGAGTCATGTACCAAAATGTTCATTGCAGCTCTATTTACAATAGCCCGGAGATGGAAACAACCTAAGTGCCCGTCGTCGGATGAATGGATAAAGAAGATGTGGCACATATATACAATGGAATATTACTCAGCCATAAAAAGAAACGAAATTGAGCTATTTGTAATGAGGTGGATAGATCTAGAGTCTGTCATACCGGGTTCGACCCCTGGTCGGGGAACTAGATCCCACATGCATGCCACAACTAAGAGTCTGCATGCTGCAACAAGAGTCCACATGCCGCAACTACAGATCCCGTGTGCCACAACTAAATGTGCCACAACGAAGCTCCCTCGCACTGCAACTAAGACCTGACGCTAAGACCCGACACTAAGCTCCCTCGCACTGCAACTAAGACCCGACGCAGCCAAAATAAATGTTTTTTAAGAAGAGGATAGGGAGGGTGGGAGGGAGGGAGACAAAGAGGGAAGAGATATGGGAACATATGTATATGTATAACTGACTCACTCTGTTATAAAGCAGAAACTAACACACCATTGTAAAGCAATTATACCCCAATAAAGATGTTAAAAAAATAAAATAAAATAAATAAAATAAAATTCCTGATGCCCAAACTATCTCCTCCTCAAAGTAAACAAAATGTTATAACAAAGAGAAAAACACAGACTTGTCCCAAACAATTTTGCTTTCTATTCTATTCTTTTTCTAACAGAAGAATTAGAAATACCACAGGCTACAAGGTTTAATTATTCCCTGACAAACAGCAGCCTCACTTAGAAAGATGAAGAACCCACCCTGAATACTGCAAATACAAAGCGAAACCAAGTTACCTTCTGTCACTCCTCCAAACCCACGTAAAATCAAGAACTGAACAGATGCCGTACCCCAGTGGAGCAGAGATGACTTACTTATGAATGTAGTCAATCAGTCTTCCTACTTCACGCTGCCTTTGTTCTGGAGTTAGTCTTGTATGAACAGCCAAGTCTTTCATCACATTAAAATCATTACGCATTTTATCAGTTAGACCTTTAAACAAAATGTTTAAAGGGATACGGTTAAAGAAACAAGAATCATGTCTAAGTATCTGGAGTGTCAGGTGGTGGTGAGTGAAAGAATTCTGAGGAGACAAAGCAGCTTTAAGGCTTTTGAGGGGACGGAGGGTGTGAAGGAATGTTTACTGACTTCTAGAACAGACGGGGAAAATAAGCTTCGTGGTTTCATTCCAGTAAAGAAAAGTCAGCAGTACCTGTGAGGTAGCAGAGCTCAGGGATAAGCATCGCAGGGCCTGGTGATGTGCCTCCAGGGCCTCTCGTTCTCTTCGGCTGACTGACCAAAACTGGTTGCTTCAAGTCGGTGATTTCTTGGTTATATTGCTATTCAAGGGAAGAAAGTATCACTGTTCACAGTAAATGCCTTTAGTCACACGTCATTTTGTAATGGACATTAAAAGTTTTTTTTTTTTTAATTAAGAACTGATGCCAACAGCAAGGCTAGTATCAGTTTCCAAGTATAAAAACTGTCTTTTTAATCCTACTAAACCAGGTTGTGATTTATATGCTCTGCTGAGTACCTCATCTTTTCTCCTAAAAACTTAGATGGTCAAAGACAGTAAGGCTCTAAGTTTGGACTTTCAGTCACAGTTCTATTTACCTCATGTTTTGACTTCTTGGTTTAGAAACAGCAGTCTGTGAACTCCAAGTCTTCACCACAGTGTAATTCCTTTAAAACTACTCTTATTATAGTGAGGATTAGCTTGTGAAAGTCGCCTCACTATAAGAATAAATGGTGGAAGGAGGGGGTTTGCACACTACGGGACATTTTTAATTAGGGAAAGTTTCTCCTTTGAAGCTGAACTTCCATTTAGTGGTATTAAGATTCCCCACATGTAATCACTATCTAGGGTAAGTTTTTACAACCCGTAAAGAGACCAAAAATGTTGACGCTTAGTATCTAACGAACGTGCGAGACCGGCTCTCCGGCCTCCAGTTGAGCTCTGCAATTCGAGACCGCGCAGACTTCTCACAAGTTATCTTCCCTAGAGCTCCTGGCCCTGTGTCTTAAAGACCCTGTTTCCATCATCTCTTGTATCCTCCCCTACCATCTTTTACTAACCTGGTTAATTTAGTTCTAACTTTTTATCTTTAAAACAACCACATCTCCACTAAGCATACAGGACAGTAATACCATCATGGCCGTTTCATGCGTCCCGGTCTCTCAAGAGACTGCGGCACCTGCCCGCTCCTTACTCCTATCGTACAGTCGAGGTCCTGGCCGTCCATCATCATGGATTAAGAGACCATGAACCCTAGCTTGTGCCCGCTCCTTATTCCTATCGTACAGTCGAGGTCCTGGCCGTCCATCACCATGGATTAAGAGACCATGAATCCTAGCTTGTGCCCGTTCCTTACTCCTATCGTACAGTCGAGGTCCTGGCCGTCCATCACCATGGATTAAGAGACCATGAATCCTAGCTTGTGCCCGTTCCTTACCCCTATCGTACAGTCGAGGTCCTGGCCGTCCATCATCATGGATTAAGAGACCTTGAATCCTAGCTTGTCACTGACTTTGTCCTACATTCAACTCTTTATCAACCACCCACAGAAACGCTTTCACTTCAGACAAGAGAATTCCAAGTAGAACATGCATATCTGACCTCTGCTTCATTTATCTATACTACTTATTTATCGCACTACTTTATTACGGGTCTATTAACAGTCAGCCTGCTTACACGTCATTCACTTGGGTACATACACAGGAAGAAACGTGATAGTAACTTCAGAAATGTTCCTCTTCTCTGCTTCACCAAAGGGCTTTCAAAGCAGTTCTTAATTACAGAGCTGTGGGATTTCCCGCCAGTTCTTTTAACATTTTTCCCTAC